AATGATAAATGTAAGTGTATTGTATACCTAAAATGTACCAATAAGAGAATTTAAGGGAAAAAAAATTTAAATTATAAATCCTGAGACTTCTAATTTAAATTGTTAATTATGTCCTTTAGCCTGTTTTCTGAGTTTACCATGTTTTTGTCATGTTACAGACTTCCTCCAATGTCTAAAATTTTTATTAAAGAAGAACAAAACAGGGGCCTTGGATTTAGCTCAGTGGTGCCACCACCTGCCTTTCAAGTGCAAGGACCTGAGTTCGATCCCCAGTACCTTAAAAAAGAAGAAAACAGAAAATCTAACCAGATCACTGTTTGCTTGGGCAAATTTTATTGATTGAGAGATTTTCATTATGCTGAGCAGGCTGACCTTACTCTGAGACCATCCCTACATAATCAGTGATAAAATAAGATTATCCAATTTCTTTGATGATAAATTTCTCTTTACTTTTCTTGCCACCTAATCCTCTCCTTCCCTCTCTCTTCTCTGTACCTGGGAAGGTAAATGTAACAGGAGATATTGGGTATTTGGTGTGGGGATAGTGGAAAAGTGATTCTTACTTAAACCTTTAATTGTTTGAAACTGCACTTTCATTCTTTTTGTAACTTCTTTGGGTTGGCTCTTTTCACATGTAGCCTTGTTTCCATGTTTTCTAGGTTCCAGCATTCCCTTCTCTGTTATTTTAGTTTATCCTTCCAGGCCTACCTTCTCCCCTCTTACCTCTGTATACTCTGAGAGTCACCTTTATGGGCTGGGCAACCAGATATGTGCCACAGCAGGGGACTGCAGAGAGGATTGGATATGGTTCTCCTACTCTTGGCCTAGGTTTTAGTCACTTTACCCTGCTTACAGCAGCAGGCCTAAGAGGTGACCAATTAGAGTGCTTCAGCGTTGCTTGTTGGCTTCCTGTCGCTCTGTTCACAACATTATAGTTCCTTTATTAAAGTCTTCACAGTAACCCATTTGCATGCTTCATCTGTTTTTTGTAGGTTGTATGTTGCTGGGGATGGAACGCAGGGCCTTAGCAAGCACTCTAGTGTGGAGCTACACCCCCAGCCCTCCCACCAGGATTTTGAATGACAGGAAATAATAACATATCTGATATTTCTTCATATAACAATGATATTCCTTATTCTTATAGAAGTTTGTTGAAATCTCTCATCTGTGGACCTCCTCCCTTTTTATTTCTTTATATAATGGAGGCATGGGAAAGCAAGATAAAATTCCTTGCTCATTGCATCATGCATTGCTTTTTTATTATGTTACTTTTTTTTCCTCATTGAGTTTATTGGTACATTTTAGATATACAGTACAGTTGTATTCACTACTGGGATCTTGTACCTTTACATGACAGGTCTTGGTTCTCATTTTTTTCCCCTTACCCCTGCCCTCACTTCACCCCCTCCATCCCTCCCCATTTACAAATACTTCATTTCCATTTTTCATTTTCTCATATTTTATTATGTTACTTAAGAACAGCTCTATTGAGATATTATTCAAAATGAAGATATAGAATTCAGTGATACCATTCACAAAAGTAATAAAAATGCGAGACCTTGCAATATGTGAACCAAGAAGTGTAAGACCTTTATGAGAAGAGTTATAAGACTTATTTAATATTTTTGGGCCAGGGATTTAGCTCAGTGGTTCCGGCCCCTGCCTCCAAGCGCAAGGACCCAAGTTCGATCCCCGGTACCAAAAAAAAAAAATTTTATTTACTATTTTCAACATAAATGGGAAGGATACTTTAGCACTTAGAATTATGAAAATGTCAGTTTCTCAAACTGATCTATAGATCTATTCAGTCCCCATTAGAATGTATTAAAATTTCTTCTGGAACTTTGATAAGTTAATTTTAAAGTATACATTCATATTCCTATACAAGGAACCAAGAATACTTCCTGAAAAAGAAGAAACATACTGCATTTATTACAAAGCTATTGTAATTAACCATATGTTAATGAGGAGTTACAAAAATAGACCAGTAGAACAGAATGAAGAGATGCAAGTGTAAGGGAAAATTGATGACTTCAATCCCATTTCTGCCATATTCACCATAAAGCACTTATAAAATCATTCAGACTAAATTTGTTACACATATCTGAATCTCAGTTTTGCTTATAGTTGAGTTAAATTTGAAAATAAAAACTTTAAATCTTTTAGAAGACAGTACTAATTATGTGAATGGATTTCTTTAAAAAGAAGAGAAGCCGTAATGATAAAAATAAAGATTAAGCTGGGTATGGTGGCACACATCTGTAATCCCAGCATTCTGGCAGGCCAAGGCAGGGAGATTGCAGTACTCAAAATTAATAAAGGGCTGGGGATGTACCTCAGTGCACAATCCCTGGGTTCCATCCCTGGTACTGCCAGCAAGCAAGCAAGCAATAAATAAATAAATTAAATAAGGATTCACTTAAAAAACTCAATAAAAACGAGGTGACAACTCATAGATTATGATAAAAAGTATATCACATTGCTGGGGATTTAGCTCAGTGGCTCCGTGCCTGCCTTGAAAGTGCAAGGTCCTGAGTTCAATCCCTAGTATGGGGATCACATTGGAACTAATGACTGACTATTGCATTTTTCAAATGACCTTTTGGCAGTACAGCTCTAGTAAAACGTAACTGACTAATTTGAGTCAAGTTAGCTCCATGTACCAATAGCCATACCCACAAATTTTTTTTCCTTACTTTTTTTTTTGGTACTGGGGATCAAACTTAGGACCTTTCACTTGCAAAGCAGACAGCAGAACCACTGAGCTAAATCCCTGGCCCAGTTCCCACACTTTTTTGGGGGAGGGGTGTTTTTTTGAGACAGGGTCTTACGATGTAGTTGAGACTGACCTACCTGGAACTCACTATGTAGCCAAGGCTGGTCTCGAACTCTCAGTGATCCTCCTGCCTCAGCCTCCCGAGTGTTGGGATTATAGGTGTGTGCCACCACACCCGGCCTTCCCACAAATTTTTGACACATGTCTGACAAGTATCTTCTTCTGAAGTTCTGCAAGAGTGCCAAATCCTTCAGTTCTTTCCCTGACCTAAAAATTATGTCCCACTGTAAGAATGTATTTGGACCATCTTTAGTTATTCACATACTTCCACTTGAAGAGATTTTGCCTTGAGGGTGAAGCTAAGTCTTAGGGGAGATTTATGGCTAGCATTTTTCAGTGGTATATTTTATAAAGTATTAGTAATTGTTATATCTTTGAATCTTGGAAGTTCTTTTTTTTTTTTTTTTGGTTTTTTTGAGACAGGGTCTCGCTATGTAGTGAGACTGACCTGGAACTCACTGTGTAGCCCAGGCTGGTCTCAAACTCACAGCAATCCTCCTGCCTCAGCCTCCTGAGTGCTGGGATTATAGGCAGAAGTTCTTGAATTCATAGATTTTTCTCTTCTCTTTTCCAACTGCTGCAGACAGTACTTTGTTGAGTTCATCTTTTCTTATAGTATTTTGTTAAGTGCAGCTAATAGCATCAAGTAGCTAATAGAAAGATACTTCTCCCCAGCTTCTTTGTGTAAATCTACAAGTTCATTACTTATATTATCTATTTTTGAGTTATTGTAGGTCATTGCAGTTTTAACACTACCTTATATTGGTGGGTTTTTTTTTTTGGCTTTTGACTTTTGCTTTTGGTAACAATTACTTGCTATTCATTCCCCATACAGTTATGTTATACAGTATTTTTATTATGGCAACAACCTACTCCTTCTACCAATTTTTGTACTAGCTTTTCCTGAGTAAGGCTGCTATAGTAAACCCCAAAATTGGATGCCATACTACAGTAGAGATTAATTTTTTACTCCTGTGTTAGTTGCAATGTGTCTGTGATCCAGGGTCCATTAAATGGCCTTTCTTGGTGTTCCAGGCTGAAACACATTGTTCTTACATCAGGGAGAAAAGTGAAAATGGCAAACCATGTAATGTCACTTAATCTCCTGGGACAGGATGTAGATCTGTAACAATTATGTTTCATTGGACAAGCAAGTTAATATGGCGAGGCCCATATGAAATACTCATTTCTCAAAGACATGACTATGAGTCACCTGGCCCAAGGACAAAGGGATAGAATAGTTGAGAACAATAATACTACGTGTACACTAACTCTACCATGTGCCCTTCCCCTGAAGTACTACTTTCCAGTTGCTGAGGAGAAGCATTAAGAAGTATCAGTATGTAATTGAGTACTCATAAGATCAGGGACAGGGAAGGATGCTAGGGTCCTCCTGGGAGAGATATCTACAAAGGTCCCTGAGAAGGAGCTGTTAGAGGTAGTAGGAAGATGAGGAAAACGTGTCCTGGACCCTTGTTATACAATAAAGCTATTTTTGCTTCAACAACTAGAACTTTTAAAAAAAGAAATGCAAATCCATCCTTCCTTCCTACCTTCCTTCCTTCCTTCCTTCCTTTTTTCGAGGCCGGCAGTGGCACTCGGATTTAGCTTGGTGGTGCCACCATCTGCCTTGCAAGCTCAACGGCCCTACTTAGATCCCCAGTACAAAAAAAAAAAAA